TAAATACTACTACTACTACTACTACTACTACTACTACTACTACTACTACTACTACTACTACCAACAACAACAACAACAACAACAACAACAACAACAATAGACATTGCAATTCCAGGGAATGCCAGAGGTGAAGATAAAGAAATGGAAAAGCTAATAACATACAGAGATCTGACAATTGAAACATCTACCTTGTGGATGAAATATACTTCATTGGGTCATCGGGGCTTTGGGAACAATATCAAGACATTTCAAACATTATAAGCAGTTGCAGATCTCAGAAATAATACCATCAGAGCTATAAAAACAGCAGTATTAGGAACACCATTCATATTGTGCTGATATTTAAAAGATACTTGGTGTTTGGTTAAAACTTGTATCTGTTATAATACCAGTCGTCATCATCATCATAGTGTTTAATTCTTGCTGGAGAAAATGAAATTACAAGCACAGAAAATCATTAACACGAAACACCTATACAAAACGTCACTTGAAAATGGGAGCTAGAAAGTGACATGAATATAATTTGTACAAAATTGTACCTCATTCAACAGAAGTTTGGGGGGGGGAGGAACATATTATATTCATATTATATTATATGCACCAGGATTTGAGCCAACCTGGGAAGATGATTGTGAGCGAAGGAAGGAAAGTGAGCCGTCCTCACAGGCGTCAAAAGAAGAAGGAGGCGGAGAATGTGCTGTGGGAGAATTAATAAAGCTAGACGAGGAAGAAGGGGGCGCTAATAAAGCTATAGAGGTGTTCCTAGCGGAAAGAACCAGAGACTGGGGGGAGGAGTCGGGAGATTGGAGATGGGATGAGGTTATAAAGGAGGGAGAAAAGGAGGAGAGGGGGACTCAAACGAGAGAGACAGGAGCGAAGAAGAAGAAAAAATCTGTATTTGAATCAGGTTAGGTATATTTGAATCAGTTTTTTAAAAGGTGACTACACAATGCACATGGAAACTTGGACCGTTGGTCCAGATAGGCGGGATAAAAATCAAATAAATAAATAAACTTGAATTTTTCTCCCGGGAAGCATGTTTTCTTATCGGAAAATGAGATATTTTACTGGGCGGGAAGAGGGGCATTTATGTTAACTCGCTTGTGAAAGTGATTTAGTTTGAATCGTTTTGGAATATGGGAATGCTTCTGTCAGTATAAATTGTAACGATAGGATTTGCCATTCCCACCGCTCACGGGTGTGCCTTCCCTCTCCCCAGCCCCTGCTGCCAGTTCTCTGTGTGTTTCTGCCTGTGCACTTGTGCTGGGCTGCAGTCCAATCTGTTTTATTTTTTAAATCTGTTATACTGAAATAGTGATATGTCAGTTTAAAAGACATTTTAAAAATAGCAGCCAGCACAAGAGGGAAAGTGCTCCCTCCTTTGCAAATGTAGAAGCTGCGGGATTTTGTAAAATGTCTCATCAATTTCTCTTGCCTTCCCTCTTGCCAGTGCTGGCTGCCTCACTCCTGCATGCGTGAGTACGCATGTGTGTGTGTGTGTGTGTGTCCCCTGGGCATCCTTGCTCAGTTTTCAGGGGAGACATGGCAGCTGTCACTTTAAAAATTTACTTGGAGAGGAACCTCTGCCTGGCTTCCAAAGACTGCAGGAAACCTCTGTTTAATTTTTTTCTCCAGTCCAACCTCCACCCCAATTAATTTTTTTAATGTAACTGAAAAAAATAAAAGTGCTTTAAAAAAATGGAAGGAATAGGAAAAGAGGAAGAACTAACATGGTGTAAAGAAAGTCACAACTTTGAGTTTGCAATTCATAGGGTCAGTGTAAGTCAGAAGCAATTTGGCAGTACATATGGACAATAATTTTTATGTGTTGTTGACTGATCTGCTAGAGAAAGAGATCCAAAAACATGAATTAAAAACAATCCCTTCCTCTTCTCTGCAGGGACTTATATTCACACAATCCAGTCCTCGGGTTCTACAGCCACTCACAGAATCTATGCGCACCATTCCCTGGTTCACCTTCTGGCCTTCAGCATAACTATACAGAGATCAGACCACAATGTTCAGCCCATCATGGTGAACCTGCAGAGCCCATTCATACCAGAGAGTCCAGACCTGGACTTGTATAGAGGGCCTCATTTCCAGGGAGCTGAGTGAGTATCATCTCGGGGAGTATTGTGTTCAAAGGGTCTTTCCTTCCAAAGCATTTTTAAAATAGTGACAGGATGGACTGGGTGTTTTTCTTGTGATTTCCAAGGTCATCTCCAGTTGAGCACACACAGAATTTGTAACCTCATCCCAGAAAGTGATGGTCCGGTTGATGCACCGCGATGCCATAGATCAGGACCAGGGAGGAAGTTAGAGGAGGCTTTGGAATGGTCCATCGTTGGGCTTTATGTACAAATAGCTTTTAGCTTAGTGTTTGCGTTGATCATCTTGCATCAGAGAGAAACATTTCCATGAACCTCTACGGTAAAGAAATGATCACCATTTTCTCAGTTCTTATTTCAGGTACAATCAATTATTTGCCATTTTATGTTGCCATAAAGATTCGTAGTGCTTTACAGAACAGTTTAAGTCAAAAAGGCTACCTCTACCCCAAGGGGTTATGGCCTCCATTTTCTAGTTCAGAAGGCAGCACAGGAGGAACATAAGAGCTGTAAAGAATGAATGTCCAAAATTCCAATTAAACTCGCCTGGGATTAGTTTTAAACCAGGAGCAGGTCTTAGAGGTTATGTTAAAACAGGGTGGGAAACTACTGGCAGAAGTGGCCCACCTTTGGCCCACCAGAGGATTTGGATTACAACTCCTACATTCCTATAGAGTTAAAACAGGGTGGGAAACTACTGGCAGAGTATTTGGATTACAATTCCCACATTCCCCAGCTATAGACCATACTGGCTGAGGCTGATGGGAATTGTAGGCTAAAACACCTGAAAGGCCAACGTTTCTACATGCTTTGAGCTGTGGCCTTTGACATACTGGATGGGGCTGATGGGAATTGTAGTCTAAAGCACCTGAAAGGCGAAAGTTTCTACATGCTTGAGCTGTGCCCTTTGGTTGGACTGCAGTTCCCACCATCTCTGTTGAGACCCCTGGCAATTTGAATGCATCATGGAAAACTTGAGAATTGGGGTGGGGAAGGGAAGGGAAGGTAGATAACGTGAGTGGTTAATCATATCTGGGAAGTGACCATCAACAGGTGGGTCCAGAGGAAAGGTAAATGGCTCAGAAGGAGAGAGAGGAAGCATTGGAAGGAAAGAGGAAACTAGCTGAAGGCTTCCCCAAAGCTGGAAAAGATCTCAGGATTTCAAATTATTTATTTATTATTTATTTGATTTATACCCCACCTATCTGGACTACTCGTCCACTCTATTTACAGGGAGGTGGCTGGGGATGTAGGAGTTATGCACCTCCTTGTAATGATGATATTATTATTCAGGTTACCCCTTAAGGTGATTTAAACTTTCTGTTTGCATTTCTTTGATTAGATTATAAGTCTAGGGTTTGATACCTTTATGGCATGTAATTGTATGCTGAAAGCAATAGTGTTATTTGTTAACTGATGCTTCTAAATCCAGTTTCTTTTTTAAATTTCCCAAACAAAACCCAAATTTTGCTCTGAAAAAGGATGGGAATGCATTGTTTACTGCTGTAATCCACACAGTTGAGCATTATTGGATAGAAATGGAAACTACAATAATTGTACAAAATATGAATTTTGGGCATAATTAGGATTCTGAGCATAATTAACAATAAAGGAAGGAAACTTTTGGCAGCAGGGTATGGGCAGAGATATGAAGGAGAATAAGAGCAGGAAGGTAGTGAAGAGTCACAGAGAGCATCAGAGGGTGGGGTAGATAAGGCAACAAACAAGACCTGTGATTCAGAAACCTAAGTCTCTAGACGTTGTTGGCGCCAATATTTTCTCAGCTGGACTGCCCAAAGATCAGGGGATATGGGAAGTGAAGTCCAGCGCCATCTGGGGGGCCATTTGGGAACCATCGAACTAGGTGTCAAGAGGAACGTGTACTCCCTGCAGTTAACACATTTTCCTTTTCACAAAGAGATTTCCTTAGATATATCTCTCTCAAGAATAAGAATTGCAAATTGAGTCCGCATTTACTTTCCAATGAACAATCACAAAGCAAGGTATGCTAAATGCAACATACACAGCTGGGGATAATCACATGTTACAATCACAAGGTAATTGTGTCTTTCGTTACTTGGGGCAGTGGCCCCAAGTAATGAAATACATATATACTGTATATGAAAGACACAATTGTGTGTCCGTTTAGCTACCTCTATGGGAAGACGCTGGTGCCTGAAGTGGAAGGTGGCCCTCAGCCTAGCATACACATGATCTGGAGCCCGGTGCCAGAGTCACTGACCCTCCCAGGGGAAGAGAAGGAGAAATGCTGGGAGTTCCTCACGGCCATCGCAGAGACTGAAGAAGATGCAAAAAGGTGTTTTAGTGAAGGGATGTCGCTGATTGGTTCTGGCTCCTTGTATTTGTCTCACACCCAGTCATGGGCAGCCCTTTGGGAAGGATGCTGCGTAGCAGTTGAGGGTCCTCTTTCCTTCAGCCAGGCCATCTATGGATGCCTCTATTACCTGCTAAGTGCCATTCCTCCTGTGGGCGCTTCTGAATTCCCATTCTCTGGAATGAGCCCTGGGGGTCTTTCTAATGGCACATGTGGAGAAGATTACTGGGGCCATGTCTTCTGGGATCAGGTGAGCCAAAAAGCACTGCTGCCACTTCAGTTCCCCACTGCTGTGCAGAGCAGCGATGAGCAGGAGACGTTGTGATATGCTAGCAAAGAAATCCTAGGGCAGGTTTTTCCTTCCTGGGCTGTACATTTAGGACCAGGGATGTGCACCAGCTGTAGAAAAAAATGTTTTCAACCAAGGCATAGCAGGGACATTAGCATGTTTTTGGATCAGCTAGAGCAGTGGTCCCCAAACTTTTTGGCATCACGGACTGGTTGGGGTCCATGTGCAGGGAAGGTGGGGCACCCCTTGTGCTCGCGCACAGGTGCGAAGGGGCAGGGGCACGTGTGTACATGCCTGTTGCTGGGTGACACCCAGTAGATTCATGGAAGGGTGGAAGCTGAGCTTTTAACCACACAGTGAAGGTCCAAAAGATTCCCAAAATTAATCATGCTGCATACCACCTTGTCCAATCCTAGATCATAGCCCTTTTGTTTTTCCCTTCATCGTTCACCTCCTTGAGTGAGGAGCATACAAATACCTGTGTGAACCTCAGAATAAACTGGTTCAGGCTTCCTCCAAACCAGGCCAGGAAGGGTTGGTCTCAATTCACACCATGAGTATTCAGATTCAAATCAAATCAGATGATATTTGCATATCCCCACTGACGACAAACAAAGAATAGACAGTAGTGAGAGTTCTGCAGAATTGTCCATTCCTGTGCTTCATTGTTTAAATGCTGTACAATCAGCTTCTGGCTCTGATTTGTGATGTTGCACAGAACCTGTGTCAAGCTTTAAATGGAGTCAATGATGGTGATGGATTTGTTTGGCCTTTGAATTATCAAAGAAAATAAAATGCTACATCCATGATCCATTTAACCTAGACGCTGTTCCAAGACCTCTATTCAGAGCATGTTACCATAGTCTCTTGAGACTGAAGGACGCCTACTACATCCTTAGATCTTTTCAACAACAGGTTCCATGGGCTGAACATGGTACCCCTGCCCTATACAAAATCCTGATCCCTCCCAGTGTGCCGTGGCTCTGGTCTTGGCTGTTGCATTTTCTTTGTAAAGAGCACTTTATATTGTGATTTGTTAACTGTGTAGCTGACTCCTCTTCTTGAGTAAGCCTTCCTCTCTCTGTATGAATTTTCCACCCAATGAAATTTAACCTCACCTTTGATAGACTGCTGTTGCTTCATCAGATGCCTCAAAGGGTATTCAGGGATTTGATGATACGATATATAACATGATCTTCCCCAATAGGCAACCTCATCTTCAAGAGAGCATTGTTGCAAAAATGCTCTGGTGTTCATTTTCCTCTGTCAGGTTCAGACTGATTATTACTTGAGAGAGAGAGAGAGAGAGGCACATCCACCCCACAAAGCAGTAAAACTAAGTGTCTAATTTATTAGTATGGTTCTGCACAGAGCAGGAGGACGTAAGGAATGACTTCCAAATCGTATGCCTACCCAATTGTCATTTTTCAGGGTTTTTTAAAATAGTAACTTAGTCACATAGATTTACTTAATCATTGTCGTCCATGTGAGTACAGACTATTTGCTCATCAGTATTCATGTATCTGTAACAATAAGATCATTCACTGTAGCTGTCATAAACCATGTGCTGATCAAAGCAAAGTACAACTACGCAACAGTGAAAAGCCTGAGTAAATACAGAATGTCATCCACCGTCTGGTGCCCCGTGTACCCAAATATAATTACTCCTTTCCTTGTAGGTGTTTGTTTCATCCATCGTTATCCTTGTCTGCTCCTTGCTCTTTGATCTTAGTTCAGGAATGCCTAGTCATCTATTCCGTGAGGCCCAGAAGCACACTCCCTCTTGCAGGCACTAGTTCAGTAATACTGTATATACTATATATGTATGTGTTGGCATGCTGGGTAAGGGTACGGTATACTGACTTTTTCCACAGCCTGGGGAGGAGGGGGTGACCTTCTGGTTTAGATGGCTAGGCATTATAGGATCTGTAGCTGAACATGTCTGGACGGCATGAGGCTGGGAAAGGCTGGAGTAGGTCTCATCCAATGAATAGCTGGAAACCAGGGGTCAGGGCAGATATCCGTGGTTGTTGCACAGCTCGTGAAACACCGCCGTTTTCGTCCAATACAGTTCATTTGCAGGGTTATCATTTGTTTTTGTCACTACACTCAGGATACCTGGATGTACCCAAACATCTTGCTTTTCTACCCGGAAGCAGCACGTGCTATCCTGAAATATCGGATACAAACGCTAGAGGGAGCCCTGTACAATGCACGGGAACAGGGATACAAGGTAGGAGCCCCACGTGCAGGATGGAAGACCCATCCAGGTTCCCACCTTCAGCCTGCAGAAGGAAGCCTCTGTATTACATTTGCTTATGTCTGTGAAGGAAGAAGAAAAATCAGTCTTCCAGGCAGAGTTGGCACCAGGATACTTTAAAACTGGTTGGGTGATTAAAAAAAAAACAACAGAATTACCTGCTAAGCAGATCTTGCAAATAAACAAGCCAGTCCCTGGCAAAGAAACATTGAACTGAGCATTTAAATGTGTTGACATTAAATTAGCAGCAGCTGATTAAAATCACACTGCTTTTGTACATTGAAGTTGTAGTATTCAAATGGAAACAAAGGAACTATCTTGGTTAGGCTGGGCTAGAACTTGCAAATAGTACAGTAAAAAAAGTTTTGTTATTGTTACTTACTATGGTTGTAAATAACAAAGGACAAAATGGCAACTTTTCAAAATGGAATGACCTTATGGAAGTGTTACAAATTTAAGTGCAGTGGTATTGTTGTCTTATTGATGTTGCCATCTTTTAATCATGTAAGGTGATGATATGTATGTTCCCTTTTTTATCATCAACTTGCTCTTTAAAGGTCAATAAAGTAATGGCTACATGCTGTCATGATCATTCTCAGAGTTTTCTAGGTACAAGATACTCAGAAACTGTTTACTGTTCCCTCTTCCGTGGAGCATCCTGTGACTATGCAGCCTACTGAAAGCCACACAGATTGGCTCTTCTCCTATAAAGCCCAAGGGTGAGGGGGAATTGAATCCCTGGCCTCCACAGCCAGGTCCTCGCCTAACTGAGCTATCCAGCCCGCGACCTTAAAGTTTAGTTTGCCCTTAATTATTTAATGTAGGTACGGTACGTGGGCGTTTGCCCTTAATTATTTAATGTAGGTACGTAGGTTCTGTTCTACTTCCAACTCCTCTACTACTCAGAATCCCATGAGACCCTGATTTGTCCTTCTTAGCAACTGCAGAATCAAGGAAATGTGGAGGCAGCCATCTGCAAATTCCAGAAGTTGTTGTGAGCTTTAATGTGGAGGCAGCCATCTGCAAATTCCAGGAGTTGTTGTGAGCCACTTTAGGTCTCCTATGGGGAGGAAGGTGGCATATACAGTAACTAGTTTAAATAAATAAATACCTGGAGGTCTCCTATGGGGAGGAAGGTGGCATATACAGTAAGTAATTTAAATAAATAAATACCTGGGGAATCCCTTTGTCCTATTATTGAAGCATCTCACCCCATTTAAAGCGCTGCTTCGAGAACAGGTCGGGTGAACCATGAAATTCTGGTCTCTTTGTGATTAAGGAAGGGGGCAGAAGAAGGAAAAAATGGTTTCCATTCCCATTTCAGCAGACCACAAAATAACATTTGAAGGAAGGACCAGGATGGAAATAGAGACGATTTTATGTATATTTCTTGCTTTGTCTGGAACTCCTTGACTACCTTTTCCTAAACCAGAAATCGGACCATTAACATGGCATGCTTGTTATATCTGGAACTCAGCTGGAGTAACTTTCTACTTCTCTATGTTATGGAGGCAAGTTTGAAAGTATTATGAATGTACCCTAAAAGCTTTTAAAAATAAAGAACTAAAATATTTCCCCTTTGTTATTTTACCAAATCCTGTGGTTTCTAGGATGATCTTATGATTCTGAAGAGTTGAGTTCCTGAAAGCCACAAACAGACATGATTTTATATTGGTACTTTGGTTGATCTGAAGGTTTCCTTCTAGAATTCTGAGGACATTTACACAAAGTGAAATAATTGAATTCAGGGCATGAGTGTTTCTGAAATTTGATGTGCATTGTTGAGCTTTTATGTAGCAATTAATTTAGAGTGAATTGTCCACTAATAATATTGATAAGGATGTCCATATTCCAAAGGGCACATGGGGCATAATAGGAGAAGAGTTATTTATTCCCTTGCTGAGTCATTGGTTCCCAACAATGGCCACAGCCAAACTAAGTAGAGACTGTTCTGGAGCAAGTCAGTATATAAAAACTTAGCCTCACTTTCTCCCCAGCCTTCTTCCATATAGAAAAATAAGATCTGGACAGTAAAAAAAGGCAGTCTTGCCACGGGCACAAAAAAGTTACGTGCCTCTCTTTGGATTTCCCATGAAAGAAAATAGAATGAGAAGAGTCTATTTTATGAACTGCTCCCTACATGAACTTGGAGTGTGTAAGCAGGTTCTATTTTCTTGTGGTGTTAGAGCTTAACTGTGCTTCTTATGACCTAAGAAGGATTCTGTATTGCTGGTATTGGAGTGATCTAAACCACTGGTTCTTAACCTTGGGTTACTCAGGAGTTTTGGACTGCAACTCCCAGAAGCCTTGACCACCAACTCTGCTGGCTGGGGTTTCTGGGAGTTGCAGTTCAAAAACATCCGAGTAACAAAGGTTAAGAACCATTGATCTAAACCATCTAAAACGCAATATGCAGATTAAGCTTGGTAAGCCAACCTTGCCTTCATTAGTGTAGGAAGGGATCCATTCCTGGATTGTCCAGGATTTGAAATGACCTGAAGAAATTGGGGGGGGGGCAGAAATACTCTTTGAATTATTTGCCCTGCTCTTGCTATTGGCCGTGTCTGGACCTTTTTAATGTGTGTGTATATGTGACTTCTTCCGATTTGGTTGTGACAGGGCGCAAAGTTCCCATGGGAGAGCGCAGCAACAGGCCGAGAGGTCTGCCCTGAGAAGATTTATGGAGAGGAGGAAATTCACATCAATGGAGATGTTATGCTGGCATTTGAACAGTATTACCACACAACAGAGGTAACTGGGCATGTCTTCTCTAGTACGAATAGCATGAAGCTGGCATTTCTGCAGGCCAGAGGCAACTGTGTTTGGAATTTAACATAGCTGTGACATTGATTTATCTTTCTCGTGATATTGGACCCTTACAATTCCCTCTTCACGTTTCCCCTTTTCCCTCTCCCATAAGGCTGTGGAATCTGTGGCCCTCTTCATGTCAAAGAACAACCGATCCCATCCTCCCTGACCATTGCTCATGCCTGCTGGGGCTGATGAAAGTTGTCCAACAAAGCTCAGAGGGTCACGTGTTCCCCAGCCCTCCCTTGAACTGTATTTTCTAAGCCTGTTCTAAGGTGGGAAGATCCACCTGATGGCCCACGGTGCTGTTTTCTCTCTGCCCACTTCTAGGACTTGAAGCTCTTTGAGGAGGAAGGTGGTTGGGAGGTTGCCTGTGCTGTGGCTCAGTACTGGTGCAGCCGAGCGGAATGGAGCTCAGAGGAACAGAACTACCAGCTCAACGGTAAATTTGTGAGAGCAGGCTGTTCAGTAGAGGAGGTCCACTGTCTCTCTTTATCTTCTGGGAACATTACACTTTTTTATTTACTCTGTTTCTAAGTTAGATTTATTTTCTACCTTTCCTCCAATGAGCTCAAGGACAGCTGCATGGCCTCCCTCCTTACTTTATCTGCTGAGGATCTCGAACTCCAGACAGCGCACAATCACCCCTTCTCTTCTTCAGAGGGCACATGATTGCTTGCCTCTTTCCTAAAGCCTCTGCAAGGGGAATGTTGTCATCTTGTTTACGGCCCAGACACAACTGCACCAAATTTCTCCTCAGAATTTGCAGTTTTCATGTGCAGCTCAGTAGCATGACATTGTTTGGTTCAGATTTTTGAATATTTGTTTCTGTCTGACTCATTCCTTAGGGCCTTTTTGGGTTGGTGATGTTGGAAGCACCTCTATGTTCTGACATGTACTGCCTTCTTTTAGGTGTCCTGCCTCCAGATGAGTATCATCCTGCTGTCAATAACTCTGTTTATACCAATGCTATTGCCCAGAGGAGGTAAGAAATGGTCACTAGACTCACCAGAATTTGCTCTCCAGTCTCTTCTGGCATCTACTTTCTTCCTACGTCATGCTCAGTAATAGACACAGGCAAAGACCACATACTGTATATATCGTGATTCGTTTGTTTTTCATTTCTTTAAAAATGCATGTGCTACCTTTCTGTAATGGCAGAAAACTGGATAATGACAAAAGTGCAGATCATGCGAGGTGCTCGTAAAAGGTGCTTTACAAAACAGTAGCAGAACAAATGAAGACACTATAATGCAAGGAGCAAGCAGTGATTGGATTGTAATAATATAGTCATCAAATAAACCATTTGGTAAAAAAAGAAATGGAAGAAATATTCTCATGCAAAAACCAAACTGTGGAGGCATTGCCTCACTTTGAGCTACCCTGAGCCAGCCTCCTCCTGCCTGCCTCCTTTCCAGAGGTGGAGGGGCGGAGGCAGGGCTGGTCCTCTCCTCCAGCTCAACACCTAGTCTCACTTTCTTGAGTGTGAATGTGTGAGAGTGGCAGGGAGAAAGACAGAAAATGGAATAATGCCTGTGAGCAAATAAATCAATCTCCCAGTTTTTTGACTAGACACACAGAGGGAACTGGCAGCAGGAGGTAACATTTTTAGCCACACACTTCAAATTTAGCGTTGAATTTGGAAAAACCACACACACATTTCTAAGCACTTTAAATTACCTCTTTGGAATCTTTGCCAAGATCAGATGTGTATTATTACTGTCTAGAAGTGATATGCCTCCTGCCTTAAATAATGTCACATTCCTTCCAAGTAGTGATTTTCTGACCCAGCGTGTTGTGCTGCTAAATATAGCCCATTAATTTCTTCTATTTCTAAACTTCCTAACATCCCCTCTTGCAAATGTCTGGGTGGGCTACCAAACACAAAACACATTCCCAGTAGGATGGTGGTCTGACAAGACATGATACCTAATCCTCTTTCTGAATTGTTTGCCTTTGTTTCTGCCCACCTCCATTTCTTTCCTGGACTCTATTGAAACTGACAAGGCAACTGCAGAGTCATCAATCCCACATTATACGTTATGTTGTAACTTGCTAATTTAGTAAGCCAAATCAGGGGCACAAGACTAAAAATGTTCCTCAAGTGGAAATCGTCTATTCAGGAGAAAGAAATACAAAATGCAAGAATGCTAAAATGTGATGCATTGCTTTTTTAGAAAGACCCTGAAGAAAACACATTTTACACTGGGGTTATGTAAGACACTCATGTTGATGAACCCCTTGTTTAGCATATTTGATACCCGCTTATAAGAAACCCACTCATAAGAAAATAAGTGAAAAGTAGTAACGTTTGAAGAAATACAGCCAGAACTATTATTTGAGACAAAGTTCTTTCACTGAAATTGTAACAAGTTGGCCAAGTTTTATGTTTAAAATTGAACTCTTTAAATGTTAAAATTAATTTACTTTACTAAGATTTCAGAGTGTGAACATATACATGGGCTTGAGCACAGCAAATAATATTGCGGCAGGAGGGGAAACCCACACCATCTGTGAGAGATACTTTGATTTGAGCAAAAGAGTCAGACTTGGTGCCCTTTCAATTCCATTAGTTTATGGTTGTATCATTCTAACTTAAGTCATAGACAAAATTTAGGTCACGATAATCTATATCAGTTATATAAGACTTTTTAGCTAGAGAAGTAATAGACAAGAACTTAAACCACATTTCCGTCCAAAAAACCAGTCGCTTGTAATCTTAAAAGGCACAGTAAAAAATCTGTGTAGCAGAAATAGGATACTTAGCCTTTTAGCATATTCAAGCATACAAGAAATTTATTTAACAATGTTCTCACCCAGCCAAGTCAGCCATGTGCCTGTTTGCATCTAGGGAGGAAAATCCATGATTTCTTTATCTCTGTGTGTTGTGGGCTTCTGCTGGTCTCTTGGCATCTCATGCCTGGCATCTGTGTTATTGTCAACCAATGTGTGTGGCATGATCCATATATTTATATTTCTCTCCTTTGTTTACATTTCTCTTCAACTGTCAACAATTGAGGCTTTCCAGCGACACAGAATGCTACCCAATGTAATACACCTCGTATAAGGTTTTTATGAGAATTTACATTGGCTTTGCCATCGCAGCAAATCATTGTGATGGCAAACCACCATGGCAGCAAGACATTGCTGATATTTTGACTTGTTCTCTTGAACTCTTACAACACCTGCAAAATACCAGGAAAGCAAACCGCTGGTGACTGAATTTGGTCAGGTACCAATTCGCTATGCTTCAGTTTCAGTATTCTAGGATTTTCATGGCTTAGGAATTTCCATTTTTCTTATCAGTGTTTACATTTCCACACTCAAGTTTTAGTTTATAGAAAAGAGCTCCTTTAATTTATCAAGTTATTGACTTTGTGAGGCAATGTTATTTTACATATCCTTTGCTTTCAGACTTGGATGGAGAGCTGGGTCCTGCCGTGACTTTTCTACACTGCTGTTCAAATAAATAAATAAACCTCATTTTCTTAGGCACAATGTACATTTTCAGGGTTGCATGTCTTAGACTCTTCCTAATTATTTTAGTGCTCTATAGTACAATATTCAAACTACGGCTTGTAATAGCATATTGTAATTTGCGCAACACAATAATCAACAGCTTTCAGGATGCACTGTAATTCAAAGGGAGCCAAATTTGAACCTCTTGTTTGACAAGTGTAGCTTCTAAGCTGAACCACAAAAGTGAAGGATATGAGTGAAGAAGATCAAAGAACGTCAAGAACTGTTTGATTTTTAGAACATCTGATTTTTGATTTTTGTCCTTTTAGATGCTAGTCAAATACGATAAACATCTTCCTACTTCTCTCTGCCAGTCTAGCCTTATGCTCTCTTTTTTTCTGCTGCTTTCCAGTTTGAACTTTGCAATTGAGTTGAGCACGCAGCTGCATATTCCCATTCCTGAGGAGTGGAAGGAGGTTGGGAAGAAGATTAAAATACCCTTTGATAAAAACAGGAACTTCCACCCAGAGTATGATGGGTATTGCCCAGGTGAGTTAATTTGGGAGACAAGGTAATCCATCTGTCCCTTTGTGTTGGCTGCAAGATAAATCAGGTGGTTTACCCAGTGATGGTGGTTCAACAGTGATCCTGTTGGCACGCCCAGACATGGAACACCCAGAAGGCCACTGGTTAGACTGGGTTCCTCTGTGCATACGGAGCTGGGAGAAGTACCAATGTATTCATGAAGATTGCAGGTGTTTTAAAAAGACTCTGACTCCCTTCAGAATTCTAGACAAGTGTTATGGGGGGTGGGGGGGGGAGAGAGAAAAAAGTCAAATGAGACAACCGGTTCATCTAGCTCAGTGCCACTCACACTGCCTGGCAGGTGCTCTTCAGGGTTTAAGACTAATTCCTTTTCCACCCCTATTTGGAAATGTCAGGGAATGAACCTAGGATACTTTATTGCAATGCCATATGCTTTACAACTGAGTTTCAGCCACTCTCATAACAATGACCTCATGCTGCCACCAAACCCTGGCAGCAGGGGATAAAAAAAGAAGGATCTGTTCCCTCCTCTGTGTCCTATCAGTGGGAGCAATATCTTATACAGAAATACAGAAGAAGGCCTTCTCTGCTGTGGCACCCCAGTTTTATACGTCTTCTCCTTGGGTGGCCTAATTTGGTAACACTGATGGCTCTGCTTTTAAGACCAATTTAAAACATGGCTCTTCACCCAAGTTTTTGAGGTGCCATGATCATAGCTTGACAGGAATGTAGATTCCTCTGTACTGTTTCATCTTGTTCAGTTGTTTGAAATTGTTTGATGTGTTGTTGTTGCCTGTATCCCACTCTGAGATCTCTATTTGTTTGGCAGGATAGAAATACTGTAATAAATGAAGATTAGAAATGCAAGCTCATGACTACCAAAGTTTACGTTTCAAGTGTAATCCCTTTCCGCCTAGAGGCAAAGTGCAATAGGAACAGGGTGCAGATGAGGTGGTCAGCTGTACTACTTAAGTCAAGTTTGACACCCCATCCCAAAGAGCCTTTAAACTGCAAGGAGGGACAGTCCCATCATAGTCCGTAACAGCAGAGGAAGGAAATGAATGGACCACAGATGACACGGCCTGAAGAATCCATAGTCTTCCCACTTGTTTCTCCCCAAATGCAAGTTGTCTTTGCTTGTCCTGCATCAAAACGTCCTAGAAGAAGGAATGACCTTGAGATCTATGAGCCTGTGACTGATACTCAGGGGCCAGCCATGACCTGGGTAAGGGGCTAGTCTTCGGAGGGGGAAAGGAAGACACCAAATGGTTTTAGTGTTGCAGGTATAGGTTTGTGATCTAGTTTTTTGCTAAGATGCATCTCCCTACATGTGATGGTTGTGATGGCAACGGCTTCTGTTTCCTTTCCCTTCCTGCAGAGCATGTTTGCTATTGGTTGGCTGGAGCTGAAAGAGACAGAAAGAGCACAACAACAGCTGAGCAAGTGTTTCAGCAATATCACTGAGCCGTTCAAGGTCAGGCAGGCAAAAGTCGGCACTTGCCCATCCCCTTCTCCTCACTATAGGTTACTTTCCCCTCTGTACCATCCTTCAGTAACTTATTTCCCTGATTTCCTCAGATCTGGGTAGAGAACGCAGATGGATCAGGAGCTGTGAACTTCTTGACAGGAATGGGTGGATTTTTGCAAGCCATCCTTTTTGGATACACAGGATTCAGGTATAAACCGTATTGATGAGCCATCATTTAAATATCCATGAGCCCCAAATGTTCTAGTATTAAGAAGCTGGTGAGCTTGGATGGGGAGTGACTGTGATCACGGGGGGATTCTGGGACATGTGGTGCAAATAAACAACTTTTTGAAGCTTTAAATTAGAAAAACTGATCCTAAGGGCAGCCATCACGAAACAGAATCAGGGATAATGTGTAGATTCCACCTGGTTTCTCTCTTACTAGCTGCTAGATGGATCAATATACCCCTTGCCCTCACCATGCTATTGATGCTCTTGAGCAAAGAGGGGAAAAATCCCAAGAGTGACTCAGTGTAGTCCATTAGCTGGTTACTTCTGTGTCCCTCCTGGACAGCAGACTGCCAGAAGTAGCCCAGTCTCACTTGTCAAAATGTATCACAAGGAAAGAAGCAGCACAGGATGAATTCAACATTGCTATGAAAGGAGATGGGCTTGGATAACAGCAAATGTATGTTGTCCACGGGACACATTTCAAAACCTGTGGTGGACTGATAATCTCTATTGGGTCAACCAAAAAGTCAGAAAAAGATGTGTCAATTGTTAAGATCACACCTCTTAAGATTGTAGCACCTGTTTAAAATGAAAATATCAGATCTGTATGTGATAAAGTGGGCACATGTTTATAAGTTAAGTCACTTATGCTTAGCACACAAGCAGAAAGCAAAGTTGAAAGTAACAGGCCAAGAAAGTGCGACACGTAAACCCCCAATGATAAGAGCAGTCTTGCTGCTATGGCCCAAGGAGCTGCTACAGCCTGGCTTGCAGGCAATTTGGAGGCACTGGCAAAGTCTTTCCACCAGGCTAGACGTTTTGCAGCTGGCTACCTCATCTTACTTCCAGAGAGACTAACAGCAGTGAAAGCGAGATGCTGAGGACTGATGATTGCAGCCTATATACTCAGTAGTACTGAGATTTAAGCCCAGAGAGTCCTTGTCACAGAAAACAAGGCTTAGTTTTGTCCAGTGCTAGCTAGGGAATTCTGGGAAGTAATCCAGAGAATTATATGAAGCTCTACATGTATGTCACTCACATTTCAGACCAATACCCGTGAACAGCTCTGTGCAGACACGGAAGGGAATGGCTTCTGCCCCTAGAGCAGTGCAAATATGGCTTAGCTGGCCCAAAGCAAGAAGAAAAGCACAGGTCTGATGTATTTACAATCACCATGTGTGGGGAACATACCTAGAGCCATAAAATTTGTCCCCAACAGCATTCAGAAAACAGCTGAGTCAATATTGACATGGATACCACAGGCAAAATTAAGCATGAGAACACCACTGAATTCAGGAAGAACAGCCGGACATGGCTAATATATGCAAAATAGTCCCCGTGCAGGAAATCCCTCAGTGGGATTTGCAAGGAAGTAGAGGAATCAGGCGGGCTCCGTAGTTTGTTTTTTCAGCTCTACCTGGGAGTCCCAGTTCTATTTGCAAGAGATATATGATGTTTACATATTTATAAATGTGTATATTATTAGAAAAGCAGGAGGCAGTTATCATAACAGGTGAGAATATTTTTAGAGGCAAAATCAACAGAATGGCTCATGAAATAATTGCATCTTGGTGGCAGCTGGGCTGACGTCCTGCCAGATGGGTGGACTAACTGTGCTTCTACTTTCCAAAGTCCATTTAGGTTGGCTGCCTGTGCTACTTATGCTGGTCCCTGCTGGTCCACACAACTGGCAAGAGCCAGCTTAAGCTGCCCATGTTGTTTAGCTAATGTCCCATGCTTAGGGTTGCATTACATCAGTGATGCATCATGCATTCTAAGATAATTTGCATTTTCTGGCCATGAGTTTTGATTTGTACAGGCTCTCCTCCTCCCCTATCTCAAAGCTTCCAAAGGCTTCCCCAGGACAAAAAGGAGCCCAAGGGAGCCTTGGAACCTAAACCAGGAGGATAGGAAGCTTTTAATTAATATAAATTAAATGCTCCCTGTATCCTGTCATTGGTATAAATGCTCCCTGTACCCGATCATTATTTATGAAAAGTTGCATAACAGGATGTCCCAATATGTAGTGCAATCCTGTAGATTTTGCCTTGAGGTGTGCATGATGATGAGATTGTCTGTGCAACAATAAAAAACAAACTATGACTGGTCCCAAGCAGATCATATTGGGTCCAGAGTGGGTTCATTTCAGACCACTTTGGCAATTCAAATACCAGAAGAAAGCCAGGCAGTGTATCTTCAAAATGCTGCCTAACTGCACCATTTAAAGGCGGTGTGGTGGAGAGAGGGCAGCAGTTCTTCTTTTTGCCTTTCTTGCTCATTTGTTTCTTTGAGTGGTTGTCTGCTTAGCCCTAACCAAGTATGACAGCCTCTAGATTTGTGCACAGGATTAGAGGGGATGGCCTAGCTTCACCCCCATCACTTTGCCCATGCGAGGCGTGAAGGGTTGAATCAAAGGTGGACAGTCTGCATCCACCCAGGACATCTACCCTGTGGGCTGGAATTGGGCCATCCCCTCAGAGCCTACACTCAAACCCAGAGGCTGGGATGCCTGAAAAGTGCTTTGAATGGGTGTGAACCTTCAAAAATCAGGTAGCGATGTTGATCCGGGACTGCCTCCACCTGCCCCTTCAATTGCGAGGCTGGGCTGGGCAAGAATTTCTGAACCCAGTTTGTAAAAGACCTTTGCTGGGATTTGGTGTCCGTTTCATGTTTACTATGTAGCTTATGTTTCTTCTTTTTTTATCCTGTCAGTATCCAATCTTCAATCTTCTTTTCCTGGTTTGTTTGGTTTTTTGGTTTTTTTGGCTTGCCCTTTCCTTCCTTACTCTTTATATTTGTTGCTTATGTGAGCAGGTTGGTGTACGGGTCTCGATGTCATTTTAGAAATAATGTTTTATCATCATGTCGGTTGTGACTTACAGGAAACCTCCCAGGGTTTTCTAGGTATGAAACATCAGAAGTGGTTTACAGATCCCTCCTCCTGGTGGTGCTCTGGGTCTGTGCAGCTTGCCTAAAACGACACAACTGGCAGGGCCAGCTACCACATTAGCCACATGCAGTCCTGTGATCTTGGCTGCTCCCTTTCCTGGGATTCATCGTGGGGAATTGGATTCCCAACCCTGGTTCCACAGCCATGTGCACCAACCTACTGAACTATGATGTTAGTAATGCTTTTATTAGACAATAGGCAAAATCCAGTTCATGTACTGTTTTTCCCTGAAAATAAGACAGGGTCTTATATTAAATTTTGCTCCAAAAATGCATTAGGGCTTATTTTCAGGGGATGTTTATTTTATTTTCATGTACAACAATCTACATTTATTCAAATATAGCCATGTCATCTTCTTCTGGTTGCTGCACAGTGTTGGAGGACGGGGTTTCACTTTAACTGAAATAGTGAAATAAACTGATAATTATGCTCCAGTGCTGGGAGGCATTCAACAGAAAACTGGACAATCATCTGTCAGATCTGCTTTGACTTGGATTCCTGCCTTGAGCAGGGGTTTGGACTCCATGGCAGAGGCCTCTTGCAACTCAATTGTTCTATGATTCTGTGTCTTACCCATTTGTTGCAAGGATGATGTTGGGGAACTGTTTCGGACTCGGGGAGGGAACTGGGAAAACATCCCCAACAGGCAAACAAATTAATGGCGGGAGACAAGGGGATGTGTGGAAGGAACCATTCATTCTTCATTCTGCTTCATGCTTCTTATTAGCCAGAGCTTGAGAAAAGGTATCTATTAGGATCTGGTGTATTAGTAAATCTGTAGGGTTTACTATTGTGACCTTTGACTCATTTCCACCTTTGTTAGGATCACCAAGAAGTGTCTGAACTTTGACCCTGTTTGTCCAGATGATGTCAAGGAGCTCAAGATCACTGGAATCTGCTATTTAGGATGTAAGTTGGATTTCACCCTCACCAAGGGGAACATCACTTTCCAAGTGACAAAGACCTCCTCTGATCCGCCATCTGAACTAGAGGTTGTTCTGGCAGGAACAGGAGAGCGACTCCCCTTGAAGGAAGGTATGGTGTTTCTCTCTGTTGCCATAATGTCAATGTTGTATGTTACTGGTCTCAATCACAGAGGGATTGCTTTCCACTTCAGAGAGTTTAAAAGAAAAAGAATGAATATCAAGGGATGTTTAGCTGCTTAAGAGGGATTGCTTTCCACTTCAGAGAGTTTTTTTTTAAAAAAGAATGAATATCGAGGGATGTTTAGCTGCTCGAGTGCCCTGACTGGCGCAGCAACATTGGTGCAAGATTCATCTCGCCCGTCAGTGGCAGGTGCCAGCTGAAGCTGGAAATGGGCTTGCCTGGGATTCACACAGACTACTATTTCCTCTCATTCTCTGTAACAGAGAAGAAGAGAAGCAGGCAAGGTGACTTCAGACAGAGGGTTTAGTTTTATAAATGGTTTTAAATCTTGAAAATATATATTTAAAATGTGGAGGGACAGAAGAGGATTGGTAGATGCTGAGGAGGATGTCTGCGGGGGCACTGTGGTATGGGACCACAACTCAATGGTATAGAAGAGTTCAGCAACAGTTGTTAGTGGACTACTGTATAACTTTCATCACCCACAAGTAGGACAGCCAATGGTGAGCATCACAGTTCAGCAACATCCAAAGGGCCACAAATTACCCACTGCATTATAGAAGATTAAAAATTGCATAATTGTAGAAAGTGGTTCAGATAATAACCTGTACAGTGGGTCTGCCTTTCTGTTTCAGGGCAGATTGTCTCCTTCCCCACAGCTGATGGATGGATCCAGAAGACATCTACTGAAGCATTCTAAATTCAGCTTGTTTTAATACTGATACCGTGACAAATGTGAGAACCACAAAGCCTTATCAAACCAAAGTTAATGACACAGAGCCAATATTTTAAAGCGCCATGGCCTGTCTACATGCAATATCACTGTGGAGACTCAGCCTTTGTTGCCTTGTGTGCACAAACTGCCTGTTCCATGGGAGTTAATCTGGGATTCTTCACTGTCACTCCATTGGAGGCCTAGCGTCCTTCCTGACCAGAGGGCAGGCTTGGAAAAGTTCTGGAAATGGGGGACAAATGAAAGAGGCTTTCTTCTCACTCTTCTCAGGGAGAAAAACTAATTTTCCCTGATAACTTCTTCTTATAGTCTATGACTGACTTCATAAAATGAAGTCATTTCTTTCAGTGTAAACCACTGCATATTGTCTGAAAAATATGAATATTCTCCTAACCAGCATTTCCATTGTAATTCTGAAGAGATCTTGGAAGGAATTGGTTACAAGTAACATAATTACCTATAACCAGTAACATGTTCAGATGATGTGAGTACAACAAAGTTACTTTTCTGGACTCACATAAGTGAGATAGAATTCAACAATTAACCAGTAACAAGGTCCAATTATTTTCACAAGTTGCTTTTAAAAGACATTTTAAGACATTTTTAGAGATCACAGTTGTTTTTTTTAATATTATGCCATTTTTGTATCAATCCTAAGTAATACAAAATAAGTGTTTTCTATCTGTTTCTGTATTTTTGTATTTTCAAGGCCATATGGGGAATTAGTATTTCCATGTTTTTGAGGTGTGTGCGTGTGTTGGTGTGTTGGCAATAAAAACGATATATTATTAATTCTAAAAACTACAATTTCAGCTGTGGTGGCAGCAACACTAATGGTCATCTGGCTGGCTCAAAATAAAAAGTAATGAACATGTTCATTTGTTTTTAAGTTAGCATTCCAGGTTCTGATTCTGGGTCCTGTGGAACCTTTTAATTGAATGTTAAACTGGATACCATACTCAGAAAAAGTCATGATTAGAGAAGGTTTCTCTTTGCACATGCTCTGAGACTTATCATCTTCATTATTTACATTGCGTTCCTCCTCTATTTATGTTGGCTCTCCTCGGATGATCTTCAGGAAGAGTTATTATTGGGCTGCATTTTAAGGAATTAATGAGGTCTTCTAGAGGCAGAGAAAGGGAATCTGTGAGTTGCAAGGTCAGTACAGATTGCCAGACATGATCTTTCACAGAAATAAAGACCACTATTGATTCTGCCTGCCAAGTGGAACGCTGCCATTCCCCATGGCTGTAGAAATGTATATGAACAGGAGTGGGTGAAGGTAGAGAATGGAATTTGAGAGGCGTAGTTTATTTCCACTTTTAGCCTTTGGAAGTCAACAAAAAAGACCACAGGATGACATCAAAATCACAGATGCAGAATGAAAAAAAGCCCCTCAGGGGGAAAAAAGAAGCGTCTGAGGGGAAAGAGACTCAACCATGTCTCTGGCATCTGGTCTCCCTGACCCGGATTGCATAAGCCAGCCTTTCCAATTCTGGATCCCTTCTTATTGTTTAATTATAATGCTGGTCTTCCTTCATCATTGTTGTCACTGAGGATACTTCACACAGGACATTTAAGCTCCTGTCTCCCTTTTCTTGCAATTATGTTTAATCCAAGCAAATCCAGAGATCCTGAACTACTGTGGATGTATGAAAAGCTGCCCCAGAACCAATGCAAGCTTCAAGTCAGCATAAGAAAGTGTATAAGGAGAGAGAGAGAGAGAGAGAGAGAGAGAGAGAAGGCTTTCTGCCCTGTAATTAGGCTGGCTGAGACCCAAGACCTATCTTTAAAACACACACATACACAGAGAGAGGGGGGGGCACAGTCCCTAATCACCAGAAGGCTGTAGTAATGCCTGGGTGGAGTGGTAGAAAGGATTCTTCTCTCCAAACATGACCTCCAGCTCCTTACAGTTAGTTGGTTTGGGGAATGCCAAAGTCATTTTATACTCACACTGCAGTCTTCTGCACATACCTGCAAGTATGATCCATTGAAAGGGTCAAGGGTTTACTTCTGAATAAACATGGATGGGACTGTGGCTCTTTGCTATTCGGGAGACTGTTGAAAAGCACTGAAAACTAGGAATGCGCACAGACCTCCAGGTTGGGCTTGGGTCCCAGTCCAGCCCTTTTAGAAAATGGCCCACTCATGCTTAGGCCATTTGGAGCAAACCCAAGTCAAAAGATGGAAACCAGAGAGGTTCATGCCATCCATTGACTGTCATGAGAAATGCAAGAACGACACTTTTTGTTCTCTTTGTCACATGAGGATGAAATTTGAAGGCCTAGTAGCTCCTCAGAAGGAAATCAGAGCGGCAACCTGGAGTTCAATATGGGCCAGGGCTTTTGTGCAAGAGCAGCCTTTCCATTGCAAGGGCACTCCCAAGGACAAACGTAGTCTCCCTGTGTTCCTGGAGGACCATTGCAATGGGAATGACAGACCTCTGTATTTAATATGTAAGACCTAAATAACAGCCCTCTGAAGTGTCTGAAACATAACTCCGTCGGACTTGACCTGGGATTAAAGTTTGGGTCTGTTAGCCTTTGGGGAGGCCAACCATCTGATGAAGCATCTGATTGATAAAAGGGACTCTCGTGACCCAGAAGTTTCACCATGTCTTAGTATCTGCCATACATTTTTGTATTCTATATATTTCTCTACTGAAATATTCTATATTTTTATACAACCAAATTGAAGTCCCATTGATTTCAGCAGCAAAGAGTTAAGTGCTGTAGAGACAGTGAGAAAATTGTCACAACGTAGGCTGGCAATCTTGTATGCACTTATTGAACATAAGCTCAGTGAAATGCAAAGGGATGCCCCTTGAGGAAATAAACATAGGATCAAGCTGCAGGACCCCAGGAATGAGCTAAGTGAAATACCATTACTTTCAATGGGAGGTACTGATTAAAATGTATATGTGTGTTTGTGTGTACATATGTGTATGTTGGTAAATATGCAACACTAGGACTCAGGAGGCCTGGGTTTGAGTCTCTTCTCAGCCATAGCAACTCACTAGGGGAGTGGAACTGGTAAAACCACTTCTCAAATATATCACGTATCTTGAAAGCCCTATTAGGGTCACTACAAGTATAAGTCAGTTCTGAACTTGATGGCACTTGACAACAAACTAGTATTCTCCACACACTCTTTGACCTAATAATTATAAATAATTTATGGCTCTACCTAAAATTGCAAGTTGAAGAACGTATGAGTCTAGCCTGATGCATCACAAATCCTTTTGCAGCCCTGTTCAACAAAAGATTCCAATTTTTCAGACATTGAGACTGCATGAATTCCCTTCGCTCCCCTAAATTCCCTCTCTTTGTCCATTCTAGTTATGCCCAAACAATTGAGCCACCATTTTCTTAATGATTGAAAAGGGGTATGTTCTCATACCTTCCCCAAATTATTTTAGCAGCTGTTAGCAAATCTGAAATCAATAATGACTCATTATAGTTAGATTAGGTGCTTTGTCCTAATCATAAAGTTGGTACTAGATATAGCAGTTTTTGTGAGCATGTTACAAGTGGGTAGAAACATAAAGTTGGTACTAGATATAGCAGTTTTTTGTGAGCATGTTACAAGCGGGTAGAAACAGTTGTGTTTTCAGCTTAAGAGATTTGTAGCTCAGTACTATACATGTTTGCAAGACAATAATGCTGGTAAAGGTTGAAGGCAACAGGGAGTGAGGAAGCCCAAATATGAGACAGATTGACTCTCTAAAGGAAACCACAGGTATGAGTATGCAAGAGCGCAGCAGGGCAGTTGAGGGAAGGACATTCTGGAGACTGCTTATTCATAACTGGAGGCAAATTGACGCACACATAACAACAACAAACATGTATTCAGTGTGCCTTATTTTCAAGTAAGTACGCCTAGGCTTCCCTCCTTAAGGAGGCACTGAAGTCAGAACCCCGGTTTCTCTCTTTCCTAATTGACGCATACAAAAATAAGCCCTGCACAAGCCAGGTATGTTCTAAATGTTCTGAAATGGGTGTGTGCTTTATTTGTTTTGCTTTGCTTTTCACACAAACTTAAGGTAAAGGAGCAGTTTGCTGGTCATTCTGTTTTGCTCAGTCAAGGTGCTAATTAGGGGTTCTATATTAGTAAATGCACTGCCCATTCCCAGCGCCACAGGCTGCAATATTTAGCTGGTAATGACAACGGGATTGGTAAAGCTTCCAGCAGCTCCTCGCTGTTTCTTGCCACTATCCAACCAAACAGCTGAGAACATGGGGCAAGATGTGAAAGCCATGCCACGAAGTTGTTACCACAGGAGACCTTCAAAGAAGAGAACCCCACTACTATTATCCTGGATCAAAAAATAGCTTTGTTCTTGTGGGAAGTGTGGAGCTGTGGCAGGCAAAGAGAGAATGTGTGGCCAGTAGACAACCAGAGCATGTGTGTGTGTGTGCGTGAGAGAGAGACCAAGATGAAAGCTGCCTTTTTATGCCAGGGGACTATTTTAGACCAAAACAGCAACATATGTACACTTGTCAGAGGGAGGCAAAGCAGCAAATTACAGGGCTCTTTGCTACACAACAACCCTGGCATTTAAATGTAACTAGAACACACTGTAATGATGGGCCAGCCTGAGAAGAATGTTAAGAAGGGGAGTTGTGGACCAATGGATGTTTAGCAGAAAATCATCCGAGAAGCCCCAAATGAGAAAGCTAACCAGAATAGCCTGGGGTGTGACACCTGGGCGATTTTAGATTTCTGCATCTTTAGCAGGTCAGAAATATAGGTACACCAACATCTCTCTGATAATTAGATCCATATTTCTGCATTTTTGTTTTTTCTGGGAGAAAAGGCAACGAATTAACCAATCACAATGACAACATGACTAATGTAACCTTCCACAGAGTGACACTATTTGAGTGATTAAAGGCAAGAGCCTTTGAGACTTGAAACCACTACAAACTATTTTATTGAGGATATCCTCCAGATATGCTCATTTACAGTGTCCATCATCCCCGGGCAGAATAACCAAAGATGGTAGGGATTAATATAGGCAGGTGCCAGATTGGGGAAAGGATGGGAAAGCCTAGAACCTTGTTTGTGCTTCCTTTAATTGCTTGAGTGCAAGAACATCTGCCCTAATCAGGAACTTTGTAGAGCAGAGCCAGCATGGCATAAACTGATCAGATTAAAACACTGCAGCACACCTCGTGCAAGTGGCAAAGGAAGAATTACATGGAAATGATTGTCCCTTCCCGTTTACATCCTGAGGGTCTGTTCCGAGTATTCCCAGCAACCTGAAACAGACAGACACACACAGAGAGGTGCTTATGCTGAGAACTTTGCTAAAATGGAAATTAAACTGAGAGGTGACCAGAGGCTATCATGATCTCTGGCAGCATATTAGCTGAACATCCATAGTAAGAGTTTCAAGTTGCCCTAAGACAGACCTTGCACCAGTAAACCTGAGAAGTGGGGAATGAATTCTTGGGAAGTTCTAACCCAGGAGGCTCTTTGAACTTCTTCAGATTTGCAAATAACTTGGCATTCATCTTCTGATGGCTGAGGATGATGGTGGAGTTGCAGTCCAAGAACATCTGGAGGCGCTGGGTCCTCCTGGCCCTGCTTTAGGTAATGCTGTCTCACTGTCATTCTTTCAAAACAGAGTGAGGGCTTGCTTACCCAGGGAAAATATTCTCCCTTGGAACAGGCTAATCAGGTTCAAGATGGGTCACTGGAAGTACACTATGGCATTTAGATTGGTCTTTCTCTTCAGGCACAAACATGCACTTTTCCAAGATATTTTGGGGATGAGAAATCACTCAGCACCTAAAATTGCTCCAATGTCCAAATTACAAAAGTCATGTGCCTGCAATCTAAAAAGATTTTGGGGAGTCAAGCAATGCTCTTTGTTTATTTGTTTGGGGAAATGGATAGCATTGGACTGGAAAATAAACAAAAAGAAAACTTTTGGGTAGAAGAGACATCAGGAGAGGGAGAAAGAAAGGATTGACTCTGCCTGAAAACTAGTGGAATAATCAGTAACCGCTTCCCAGCTAGATGTTGCTTGCATTTTAAATCTGCTTTACTGGAGAAACAGATCTATTTGATTTCATTTCATTTGTTCCTTTCTCTTTGGAAGTGGGATGGCCCTGAATTATATAATAAATTACAAAAATGAGAAGTGTTCAGAGCAGAGATGACAGGAGAGGAGGGGGAAGAAAGGGTTAACTCCACTAGAAACCTTTAATCACTAGCAGGGACAGTGCTTGTATTTTAAATCTGCCTTTCCATGGATTTGGACAGCAGCAGTTTGTCAATGGCACTTTACACAAGGCAAAGAAAATATTTTTAATCTAAGTGGTACAGGGCACCAGCCATGGTGTAGTAGTAGTAGTGGTAGTGGTAGTGGTAGTGGTAGTGGTAGTGGTAGTAGTAAATTTCACTTCAGTTTCCCTCCACCAAGGGGCAGACAAACTGTTCAATTTGCCAAAATCTTTTTGATACTATAAATTGACAGTGGAAGGAACCTACCCAAAAAGTAAAAGCCCTTGACAGGGGCTCAGAAATGTGTGGGCAGGAGCACTCTGGGAATGGATTAGTTCACTCTATCAAATTATACCATCTGATCACCCAAAAAAAGAGCAAACCAAATCATTCCCACAGTGCACCAAACAGCAGGACAAATGCCTGTCTGATCGCGTCCTCAGACTACAGTCCCACATATACCGTACACAGAGTGAACCCCATGGGCCAAAATATAACTTTATTTCAGAGTAAGCGTGCAGAGAATTGCACTGTGAGGGTACCGCTGAGAGCCACTACCAAGTTCATTGCTTTCCCTGTGCTCTGTTCTCACTTTGGCCATGTGGATTGCTTTGCCCCACTTTATAAACTCTCCTACCTATGTGTGTTGTTTACATTGGGACTAAGACCATGGATAGCTCAGTGGTTTAGGTACTATATCTGGTTGCAGAGCCAGAGGCTGGGAGTTCAATTCCCCACTGTGCCTCCTGTGAGTAGAGCCCTGCGTGGCCCTGGGCAAGCTGCACAGTCCCAGGGCACCCCCAGAAAAAGGGCCATGGTAAATGACTTCTGAGTGCTCATCACCTATAAAAGTATGGAAAATGTTGCTGTAGATCAGAATCGACTTGGCAGCATAAAGCCATATTATTATTAGGATACTTTGAAAGGTGTAGATATGGGGCAAGGCTTACAATAGCCTGGGCTACCAAGAAAACTTAATATTGCAGGCACATTACACTTCTGATTCTTGGTAACTGCTCTTATGAAACACATGACCCAAGCGGAAAAAAAAATCCACATTGATTTTTATTAAAGCAGATGTGTACAAAAGAGTAGTGGATTATAAAATCATTTAATCACTTGAATAGAAATAATCAAACAAAATGTTCCGGAATCAGTTACAAGGAAAGAAACAATGAGGGCTCTAAGGAAGATTCTAAGGCAGCCTTCTCCAGTCCAGTGCCATCCAGATGTGT